TTAAGTAATTTACTGCACCACTAAGATTTAGGTTTGGAGAGAGGTCTTGAGCATAAAACGTTAGCATGGTGAAGTTTGCAGTGAAATAGCTTTACAACCTGATTGTGATGGTGGATACATAAATCTAGAAATATAACTTCTTAGAATTACACACTTATAAAAATTTCATGTAAAAATTAGTGACAGATCCAAATAAATTAGTAATGAATAATATCCTACACAAGTCATTTTCCTGGTTTTGACAAGAAATATGGTTATGTAAGATGTTTTCACTGCAAGAAGTTGGATGTAGAGTACTAGGAAAGTCTCTGGACTCTTTTTGCGATTTCTTGTCAGCTTAAATGTATTTCAAAATTTTATCAAAGTAATTTTGAAAAATTGATGATCTGTTCTGTAAACCTTTACTCAATTCACAATAAAAAATTTAAAAAAATTATAGTATGCATCCTGCAATGATTAAAAAAAAAAAAAAAAAGGAAACTTGGAAGGTTATTTTGTAATGTCTTTGGTCAATTTATAAACCTGGTTAAGAACTTCCAAAAATATTGTTGTATTTCTATATTTAAAATATTCAGTGCTCAGTGTCAAGGAAGGAAGGGAAATGGGGAGTTTAGGAGGTAGTGAGTTTCAGTGAATGAAAATAATTTGGAAAAGGATAGTGAGAATGGTCACATCGATGTCATTGAATTATACATGTAGAAACTGTTGAATTCATGTATGTTTTGTTGTGTATAATTTCACCTTAACAAAAATGAGTTTGTTTTAAATATTCCAGTAGCTAAATTTACAATTAAATTTACAGTCAAGGAAATATAGAGTGATCACATAGTATGGGATAGGCACAGAACACTGCTGATTCTACAGAAGAGTAAAAATTAGTGATGAGAAAAGCAGGTCATGTTTTTCAAATTAGGGAGGCCAATGGGAAGGCAACTAGGAGTGAAGTTTAAAGTATCCAGTCTGCTAATGTACGTCAGGTATTAGCTGGTGTGTGAGGTTAGGTCTGTAATAAAAAGCCTAGAAACGTGCACTCATCTCCATGAGTTATGTTATTTCTGATCGTTTGCTAACGGTGTTCGACATTTAGCATGCTCCTAAGTTGTATTTTCTCAATGATTTTGTGACAAAAGATGCAACACAATGTATTACACCAAAATACCATTGTGCTCATTGCCATTTTCAAGTTTTCCTCCATTAGGAACTCTCTGACACTTAGTGACATTTTATTTATGGATAAAGGCTTTCCTTGGTCATTATGTCTGCATCAGCTGGGAGTTCATCTAGGACATGCACAAATCATTCTTGTGTTGTTAGGTGCCATCGAGTCGGAAATGACTCATAGCGACCTTGCGCACAGTAGAACGAAACACTGCCTGATCCTGTGCCAACCAGATCATTAGACCTACTTCATCTTGGTGTTGATAAGACTCATCTCAGCACATACGTATTCTGTGTTCCGACAATTTTTGTCCGAAGGCATTTCCACATTAGATGGATCATGTTTTCCTTTGTGTTTCTCACTGACAGAATGTGTGATGTGGTGGCCATTAAAAGCATTATTACCATATTCATTACACTGAAGAAGGTTTGCTTCCGGGCAAATTCTTTAATTCCCTAAAGGTGCACATCTCCTATTCGGCAGGCCCACAGTGAGTATGTTTCAATCCTCTAGAAACCCACTGTGGTTCAGAGGGCTGAGTTGCTACAGAGTTTTCCACCGTCACTGTATTTGGTGGATTTTGTTCTTTTGCATAAGATCACTTGTATGCAATGGTTTCTGATTCTCTTTCAAAGGCATTTCTGCCTTAACTGAATCTACCCATTTCTCTTGCATGCATTCTCTTATGTTTAACAAGGTTTGACAAGTGGGAGAAGGACTTCTCACAGTTATTGCATCCATATGGTCTCTCTCCTGTGTGAGTTCTCTGATGAACATTGAGGACTGACTTAGTGGTGAAGGCTTTCCCACACTCACCACATGCAAATGGCTTCTCTCCTGTGTGAATTCTTTGGTGGGTTATGAGACCATATTTGTGTGAGTAGGATTTTCCACATTCGGTACACACAAATGGAGTATTGCCTGTATGACACCGCTCATGCTGTATGAGGCATATTTTCTGGCTGAAGGCTTTCCCACATTCACTGCACTCATAGGGTTTCTCTCCAGTATGAGTTCGCTGATGTATGATGAGCGTGCGCTTTGTGGTGAAGCCTTTCCCACACTCACTGCAGAGATAGGATTTCTCCCCTGTGTGAGTTCGCTGATGTATAACAAGAGTGCGTTTCACGGTGAAGCCTTTTCCACATTCACTGCATATGTAAGACTTCTCCCCTGTATGAGATCGCTGATGTACAACAAGATTGCTCTTCACGGTGAAGCCTTTTCCACATTCATTGCAAACATAGGGTTTCTCCCCAGTATGAGTGCGTTGATGGACGACAAGATAGCGCTTCATGGTGAAGGCTTTCCCACATTCGCTGCATATATACGGTTTCTCTCCTGTATGAGTTCGTTGATGTACAATGAGATTACTCTTCACAGTAAAGTCTTTTCCACATTCATTGCACACATAGGGTTTCTCCCCAGAATGAGTTCGCTGGTGTGCGATCAGATAGCGTTTCATTGTGAAGCCTTTCCCACATTCACTGCATATGTAGGATTTCTCTCCCACTTGGGTTTCCTGATGTACAGTGAGACTGCTCTTCATAGTGGAGCCATTTTTATGCTCGCTGACAGTATAGGGTTTCTCTACTGCATGGGTTTTCTGATATTTGGTGAATGTGAAATTTCTAGAGGATTTCGCACATTGACTACATCCACTGAATTTCTCTCCTGTATGAATGTTCTGATGGTAAATGAGTTGAGATTTCTTGATGGAGGATTTCCCACAGTCAACACATGCATGGGGTTTCTCTACTTTGTGAGTTCTCTGATGTTTATAAACTTGGGGTTTAGTTTTGATGCATTTTGTAGCTTCAGGGAATCGAATTTCAGCATGAAATTGTTCATGCTTTCCATGTAGAAGGTTTTTTCTATCTCCATTAAACTCGGCAGGGTTCATTATTTCAGATCTTCTGTTCTGGTTGACCACAATTAAATTTGATTTCAAAGTTTTTCTATTTAAGTCAAACATAAGATTTTGCACAAGGGTAAAATGGGGTAATTTTGTTAGATGAACATTATTTTCAAAGACATTCTGTTCACGGCATTGATCTTTTCCTTCGAGAAAACTTTGGTTTTGGACATGTTCTTTTCGAAGATGGTCACCTTTCTTGATTTCTAGGAAAGAGAATAATGAATTCTTCCATGAAAATAGTGTAAAACAAAAGCGTTTAAAAAATGACTTGGTATAGCCCACAGAGGTGATTATTTCTGTGCATGAGAAACACTCATATTAGCTGCAGAGCCATTTCCTTCTGCTTTGTAGTATATAACCGAATTCAGGAAGGGCTCCCTCTTTTGTACCTTTGGATGGTTTAGTCCAACATCCTTTCAGTTTATTTAATTTAGGAAAAAAGAGAGAAAATAATACCCTTTGACCTTAAAAACAAACAAACAAATGACTTGGTGGGGACTAGCTCTTTATTCCTGATCATAATATCCCAATATAAAAGAAAATTAGAAGAAACCAAGATCTAAGAAGACAGGAGACAAAGGGTGCGATATCTACTAAGCATCTATGGAGCAGTGCTCTCGGGCAGTCAGGGAGGGACGTAGGTAGAGGAGCAGTCTAGGAACCCTCAAACACTGTCACGGCTGTCATACCTTCTCAGAATGACCAAATGATGCCTTACAAGGTCATTCCTCTTGCAAGTTTTCACTTACTTACCTGGACAGACTATCGGGTGAATTTCATCTTCCGTTATCCAAGGCTCTTCTCCTTGTTCCCGCTTAGAGAATGCATCTGGTTTGCTACCCTGATACCCTGGTTTGTGAGAAGTGATAGGAAACTTAGCCACACTGAATTGGGGTTGTTGTTGTTGTTAATTGGGGTGGTATACGTCAAAACAGGATAATACATCTTAGGGACAAAACCATACGCAAAGCAAAAGGTGGTCTTTCAGGATACAGGATATTGTATATAGTTGTCAGACAAGAGAAGGCACTGAAGAAAGAAAGGTGTAAAGCATTACGGTGCAAAGATTTTGGTAACTGAGAGAAGAAAGCCCAGTGACTGGGCAGTCTCTGAGGGATACAGCTAAGCTGCTCTTACCCATCAATACCAGGTTGTTATAGTTCTCTAACATCACATCCCGATACAGGTCCTTCTGAGCAGAGTCTAAGAGCTGCCACTCCTCCCAGGTGAAGTTCACATCCACGTCCTCTAAGGTTAACGACCTCTAGAATCACACAGTCATGTTAATGCGATGACCAAATCCTTGTAGTGAAATGGAAACCATGTGAAGAGTTATTTTGATCACTTCTGCCACATAGCTTGCATCAATAAATGTTTTACCAACACATTTGGGTGAAAATAAATTCTAGCTCTCTGTATAGCTATATATAGTTATCGGTTTGCCAAGTACTAAACTTATGGAATCCTAGTGTGGTCCTAGGATCAGCACCGGACTGCTAACCATGAGGCTGGCTGTTCCAACCCACTAGCCACTCCTTGGAAACCCTAGAGGGTCAACTCTGAGTCAGAACCAACTCTACAGCACCTAACAACAACAACAACAAACACGGTAAAAGTCTCTAAAAAAAACCTTTACTAATGGAAAGGTTGTCAGTTCAAATCCACCCTGAGGCAGCTCGGAAGAAAGGTCACCTACTTCCAAAATACCCTTCAAAAAACACAGGGAGCCCAGTGGAGTGCGCTCCAGTCTGATACACAAAGGGTAGCCAGGAGTTAGAACTGATCTGACAGTAACTGGCTTTTAAAAAAATACGTTCATGCCATCCGTACAATAAATTATTCCTATATTATCAGGCTGCTAATCTCACGGTCAGCAGTTCGAAACTACCGGCTATTCCGTGGGGGAAGATGAGGCTTTCTGCTTCCGTAAAGATTTACAGTCTCTGAAACCCTATGCAGGGTCGCTATGAGTAGGAACGGAGTCCACGGCACATAACAACAACATATTCCCATAAGACAGCAGAGTCAAAATCAAAACCAATCAGGAACAGACGCCACATCCTGAAATGCTGATGTGAGGAGGCTCCAAAAGTTTGTGGGAAAATGGAATTAAAAGTTAATGAAACTTTACCATGAACTTTATGAGGCCCCCTTGTATATTGTTGTTACGTGCTGTCGAGTTGGTTCCAACTCATAGCAACCCTGTATAGGGTTTCCCAGGAGCGGCTGGTAAGCTTGAACAACCGACCTTGTGGTTCAAACTGACTTTGAGGTTGAATGCTTACCCTGTGGCACCACATTAGGACTCCCCTTGTATATTACATGTTTTTTAATAAATTTGAAGGAATAAAAGGAAGTATATAAAATTTATTTAAAGTATAAAAAAGCCAATAAGGTTGATTGGATAAGCTTAGGTAAAAAACAAACAAGCTGTAGTGGCACAATAGGTTAATCATTGGGCTGCTAACCACTAGGTTGGTGGTTCAAACCCACCAGCTGCTCTGTGGGAGAAAGACAATCTGTCTGCTCCTGTCAAGATTTACAGCCTCGGAAACCCTGTGGAGCTGCTCTATTCTATCCACAGGTTCACTTAGCCAAAATCAACTCGATGGTAGTGGGTTTCTCACTACACACACACAAACACACACATGTTAACAGACTAACCACACCCTGCAGACACTGACGCGATCATTAGTGACCTGGAATAGAAATCGGGAGAAATGACAGAATATGCACCACAGAGACAAAGAGAAGAAAAAGGCAACGAAAATAAATAGGAGGCACAGAGTCAGAGGTCTAATGCGTATCTTAGAGATTCTCAGTGAAAACAACAACAGAAATGGAGACACAATATTTAACGAGTTAAGATCTGGGAATTTTCATGGACCTTTCTCATCGCTACAATAAACACTGCAAAGCTCTAACATAGAAATCCAAGAAATCTCAACTCGACCCATGAGATTAAAACTATATATACAGCACCAAACACACAATGGAACAGTTATAAAAGTACCCAGAGAAAGGAGTGTTACAATGGACAGAAAAAATTTAATGACAGCAGATATCCTACCAGAGAACACTGAGAGCCAGAAGAGTACAGAGTCATATCTCCTAAGTCCTTATTCTTGTGCCCCAAAAGGCCAGACACGAAGGTCATTTGGGACTGAAAGTCACAGCTAGTAAATGAGCCATTGACCTCCCACAGTGACTATTGGTCAACTGACCTGCCAGCCTCCTGCTTTACAATGCCTTACAAGGTGACAAGGTGTGACGATGAGTTAGCTGGGATGCGGGAAAATACTGATGAGATATTGATAATGTATTCCTATTTTGTTTTATTTTATTGAAGAGTACGCTTCCTAGACAAGAAAGTAGACTTGGGAGAGGGTGCAAGTGCTCAAACCTGGTCAATTGATCACACTGTAAATGATTTCACATGCAATGTCTGTACATTGACAAAAAAGCAAAGTTAGATTCCTACTTCAGACTACACCCAAAAAGAATTTTTACTGGATCGAAGTCCCATGGTGTAGTGCAGTGGATTTCTCGCCCACCAAGTGACTGGGTTTGTTGTTGTTGTTGTTATGTGCTGTCGAGTCAGTTCCGACCACAGCAACCCTGTATAGGGTTTCCAAGGAGCAGCTGTAAGACTGTGCAAGTGTGAGGTGCCAGTGGACCAACAAGGGGATGTAGGTGAGTTATGTCCACTCTTTGAGATGGGACCATGGAGATAAGAGATAGGCAATGCAATGATGCAGACTGGTCAGTTCTGCCAGCATCACAAGAAAGCAGAGCCGGTAGTGGAGCGTGACTCAAGATCCCCGCACCGAATCTCCTAGATCCAGGAGACAGAGAGCTGTGGCGCGTGAGATGGCAAGAGAGAGCGAATCACTGAGTGTGTGTGGGCAAGTGGGTTCCCTTCAGACCTTAATCGGGACACATGTAGGTTTTCTGCTCCCTGGAGCTCAGGCTGAGAGCCTCTGGGAAGTCAGAGTGGCATGTCTGAGTGCTGTCTGACCTGCTGAGGGGAAGGCTCGTGTGGCAAGTCATCGAAGGCAGCTTTCAATAAAGAGATAGCTGGAAACGAAATCCATCTGGAAGTGCCACCTTGCCCGGCCGTCTTTGGATCAGACCCTACTACTACTACATTGGCTGGCACCTTGATTATAGCCTCATTGTTTTTGTTGTTGTTGTTAAGTGCCATCAAGTCGGGATCCGACTCATAGCGACCCTGTACAGGGTTTCCAAGGAGCAGCTGGTGAATTAGAACTGCCGGCCTCAATGGCCCACACCGACGTTGCAGTTTATCGCACTAACTGGCAATGCCACACCAGAAGTCCTATAGCCTCCTAAGAGATGGTAAAAGCAAAGCAGTGCCCAACACTAAGCCAGGCCTGGGTTCCTGACCCAAAGAAAGGTGAAAATAAAAATGTGTGTTGTTTGAAGATGTTTAAGTAACAGAAAAACCTGTTAGGTACCGATCGATAACTCGTTGTTGTTGTCCTTGTTAAGTGCTTTCAAGTTGGCGCCAACTGATAGCAGCAACGCTGTATAAGGTTTCCAAGGTTTAAAATCTTCACAGGAGCACAAAGTCTCATCTTTCTCCCAGGGAACGGCTGGCGGGCTCCAACCGTGGGCCTTGTGGTTCTCAGTGTATGAAAACACTGTGCTCCATAGATAACTAATAGAGGGCATGAAACTTAATAGAAGAAATTACATAATGTGTTTATGACTTTAATAAAAAAATACAGAAAAGGAAAATGGCTGACAAATTAAAATTGTGCTAAGTTGTTTTTATTTTTTCCCCTGAATGGAATAAAAGCTATGAGCAAAGCTAGAAGATAGATCGCATTGTTATGATAAAAAGAATGATTTTAATGAGCAAAGAATAAGAATAGAATCTCAGCCAAGAAATAATCCAAACGAGAAACAAAGCGACAAGAAAGATCTGAGCCCCCTCAGTGATTTGGAAAGTACAAAATAACATTGGGACTATTCACAGTTTGGAAAGAAAGCCATTTGATTATATTCCAAAAAAGAAGTGTTGGAGCAAGTTTCCCTGGGCTGAGGCCCGTAACACCTTTACCTCATGAGAGATCAAAGGGCAGAGAGGCCAGCAGAGAACAGAAGGTCCTTCCATCACCAAAACCGGAGAGCCAGGAGTGGGGCATGTCCTAAGGACCTCGTAGATCCAGAGGAAGACTGATGCCAAGTCACAAGGAGATCTCCAAGGGAGGCTGAAAGGACACACGGCTCTTCCTTGAACACTGTGAGCCAAAAGAAAAAGTCTTTGCTCAAGCTGGTCCATCAATGTGGACTGCTAGCCTCCTAAACTATGAGAGAACACAGTTCTGTTTGTTAAAGCCATCCACTAGTAGTATTTGTTAGAGCAGCGGTATGGAACCAACATCTGTCCATAGTCATCTTAGGGTATACGTGTCGCTATTATCATTCCCATTTTACAGATGAGAAAACAGGTGCCTAATATCTAAATGAAGGAGTCCTGGTGTGGTGTTGTGGGTTAATGCACTAGACTGAAAAGTCAGTTTGAACCACAAGGTCAGTGGTTCAAGCTCACCAGCCGCTCCTTGGAAACCCTATACAGGATCGCTATGGGTCAGTACCAACTCCACGACACTTAACAACAATATCCAAATGAAGCGTGTAAGGTCACAGAGTTAGCAAGTGGCTTCAGAGTTAACTGTTCCAGTTGCTGCCAAGTGGCTGTTCCAATTTATGGTCTGCCATTATGCTAAGTGAGCCATAAACCAGAATATTTACATTAAAATGTAAAATGAGGACACCAGGTACCTGCTTTCTGGTTTCGGGCTGTGAACCGCAGGGTTGGCAGTTCAAAACTACCAGCCGCTCCACAGGAGAAAGATGAGGCTTTCTACTCCCGTAAAGATTTCCAGCCTCAGAAACCCTGTGCAGGGTCGCTATGGGTCGGAACCGACTCCACAGCACATAACCACCACCACCACCACTCTTAAAATATACTGGTACAAGACACCACAACTCAGACCAGAGAACTAGCTGGTGCCCAGCGACCACTACCAGCTTCTCTGAATCAGTCCCCGATAGGGTGGCCAAGGGCCATAGGCTTAGGTCCATCCAGTCTCTTTCTGACCAATAAGCCTGGTCGTTTTTTTTTTAATAATTTTGAGTTTTATTCCATAATTTGCACTGTACTGCAAAGTCAGTTTGATCCACGAGGTTGGCGGTTCAAGCTCACCAGGTGCTCCTTGGAAACCCTATACAGGGTGGCTATTGGTCAGAAATGACTCGATGGCACTTAAAAACAATAACAACTCATATACTTTAAAAAAAAAAAAAAGGAAAAGAAAAAAAGGAGGGAGGTAAGTATAGGGCTTGAATTCAAGGAAGAATACTGTACTTTCTGAGTAGGAATCAATGTTGTTGTTGTGAAGTGCTGTCGAATCAGTTGCGACTCAGTGACCATGTATAGGGTTTCCAGGAAGCAGCTGGTGGGTTTGAACCACCGGCCTTGTGGTTAGAGGTTGAGCACTTATCCCACAGCGTCACACCAAGTTAAACAGATGCTAACAATCCAAGTCCTTACTAGAGAACACGACTTTTCATTCACTGCATTTAGGACCGCCAAGTCTAAACTCAAAGTCCACTTAACCGAGGACCATTTGAATGTCGTTCAATGTTTCCATGTCCCTCGGCTGTTAAAAGTTTTATTTCCAGATGAACCATGTCTGCCATGAAGCTGGCTCTGTGTCACCTCTCTATGGTTCTCTGGAAAAACTACCCACACCGAGGTAGACATGGTAAATTCCCACTGGGGATCCTGAGGCCCTCTATAGAAACCCAAACCCAACCCAACCCAGCTCACAGTAACCCCACAGGGCAGAGAAGAGAGATGGCCCACAGGGTTTCTGAGGACGTCAACTTTACAGAAGCACACACCTCATCTTTCCCCCTCAGAGTGGGTGGTAGGCTTGAACCGCCAGCTTTTTGGTTAGCAGCCCAATGTTTAACCTGATGCATCATTAGGGCCCCTTCCTGTGAGAATCACACATAGAAAGTCTGCTTTTGTATTTATCAGCACGCTGCTGACAAGGACTCCATCAAGCACATCATTTCTAGAGACAACCATCCAGAGATTTTCCTGAAAATGAAGGGACAAAATCTTTGGCAGCCCTAGATGGAGAGCTCTGGTCTGTCTCCATCCAGCATTCCCCGGGTCTCCACTTGTGACAGTGCCTGGAGACATTAGACACAGGCTGACAGGTGCCAACAGTCACACACCGTGCCCCACGGCGAGGCCAAGCCAGAAAGTGCTGCCACGTTACAGAACCATTTACTAGGCAAAACCGCTAAAATGCGAGCGACTTTCACCACACAGCCTCCATTTAGGGCTACAAGATTCTGAAGGTGGCATTTCTAATCTCTTCTACCCTTCCCTGGAGCTCTGGTAGCGTTGTGGTTACGAGTCAGACTGCTCACCTCAAGGTCAGCAGTTTGAAACTACCAGCTGCTTCGCGCGAGAAAGATGAGGCTTTCCGCTTCTGTAGAGATTTACAGCCTTGGAAACCCTGTACAGGGTCGCTAGGAGTCAGAACCGACTCCGTACATACATAGTAGACCACCACCACCACCCCTTCCCTGAAGGGTCTCAAATCGTGTTCCTTTGAAATGTTCTTTGAGTCTAGAGAACAAAAAGGAGTCTGAAAGGGCGAGCTTAGGGGCACAGGGCGAATGGGTTAGGGTCTACCAACGAAGTTCTCCTAAGACAGCCCTGACTATCCTCACATATGAACAAGTGCATGCCTGTGTCGGAGAAAAAGTTCCTGGTGCCATTCTCTTGGCTTTCATCAATCTCCTTTAGCTTCCTAATAGGCCCCCGAGATAGTGTCTTTTGAGAATTAATAAAAAGACAACCTCTTTGGGACCCCAGAATACAGTAGCTCTAATCTTCTGAGCTGACCACTTTGCCTTCAATTCAAGTGTTCCAGAAGATTCACTCAGAGCCACTACTTTGATTCAATCTTCTTGTTTTTTCTGAAAGCGCTCTGATGAGATTGCTGTTGTTAAGTGCTGTCGAGTTGATTCTGACCCATAGCGACCCTGTATAGGGGTTCCAAGGAGCAGCTGGTGAGCTTGAACCACCGACCTTGCAGTCCAAACGACTTTGCAGTCTGATGCATTATCCCCCACAGCGCCACACCAGGATTAAGACCAGTGTATTACCAAGAGAACTCATCTGCATCCACCCATTGATGACAGGAATGTTTAACCATGTTTTGTTTGGGATAAAGCTGCGTGTATCTGAGCTGGGAGCAAGACTTTTGGACTCACCCTCGTATTTATTATATGATTTAATATGACCAGGTTCATGACTAGTAAATATGACTTAGTATGACCAGGTTCCTGATTAGTATTTGTTATATGATTTAGTATGACCAGGTTCCTGACTAGTATTTGTTATATGATTTAGTATGACCAGGTTCCTGACTAGTATTTGTTATAGGATTTAGTATGACCAGGTTCCTGACTTTACTCTGTCCTCATGTTGAAGTTAAAATGAGGTTTATTTTTCGCCAGAACCCAATTATCTCAGTTTATACTTTTTTGATTTACCTATTTTGTTTTTTGTCCCCCCCTAGCTCTAGGTTCCCTCTTGAAAGCTTGTAAGCTAGTCACTTCTTGCCTTTGTAGTCGCGTGTGTTCCCCCCCCCCCCCCCCCAATACCACCACAACTTTATCAGGAACAAATAAAAAGGCACCTGGACCTCAATCATTTTCTTCAGTGATCAGGAAACGGCAAGTAACATGGATTCTCTGTCCTTAGTCTCTTCTGCATGGGTCACGAAATCTTGGGGTCCAGTTAAAGTTGGCCCAGAGAAATGATGACAGTCAGCTCCTAGAAACTTCACTTGTTTTGCTGCTGCTCAGCCAGGACCTGTGTGCTGAAGAACAAGTTGGTTTTGAATGTACAGTCCTTCTGGGCCCAGATATGCACTTAGCTTAAATAGAAGACCTCATTATTTATGAAGGTCCCTGTATGTGGTGTCCCAGAGTCTTTCATTCCCTGGGTCAATAAAACAAGATTCTACATGTATAAACAAGATTCTAAACGTATAAACAAGATTCTACATGTAGAGTGCATGCCAGTCTCCATGACTCTGAGACCAGGACGGTACCCAGCTACCAATTGCCTGAAAGGGATCACGATAGAGCGTCCCAGACAGAGAGGAAGAAAATGTGGAACAAAACTCAAAACTACTTCACAAAAAAATGAAAACTAGGTTTACTGGTCAGAAAAGAGATTGGAGGAAGCTGAGACTCTGGCCCTCGACCACCCTTCAGGTCAGCCAAGCAGTAGACAGGTATATGGGGGGACAACAACATTAGTAAGATGTGCTCACCATGGACTGGTCAGTCATTCAAAACCAACAGGGAAACACACGCCGTGGGACAACGTTGAGAAGGGATGGGAAGGTGGGTGGGAGGGAGGAAGCAGGACAACTGTTGTTGCAGAGGGGATTGTAACCATGGAGATGAAACACGTGTGATTTGTTGATTGTAAAGCTGATGATCTTGCCTGTACATCTTCACTTGATTCACAACGAAAAATTAAAAAAAAAAAAACAACCCTTCATGTGTGAGGTATGCTTTCTGTGAAGCTGAGAGCAGAACTCTGAAAGGGAGTGGGAACACAGAACCGGCACAATCATAGTGTCACAGAGGCAGGGTGTCGGGGAAACGGTTTTTGCGAAGCAGAACAGAGTTCTCCTTTGCTTTCCGCTAGCTCACTTCTGTTTGCTAAGTCATTCTTAGGTAACTCCTGATGGGGTGGTAACTCCCAAGTCCTGGCATGCAGCGGAGGTCCCTGGGATCAGGGCAAAGAGCCCAGTGTGGGACCCTACCCAGAGAAGCAGTGACACCAGAAATGGAGGCAGAATCGATGACGTGGTGAGATGGAGCAGCTGGGGACTCTAGACCCAGAGAGGGAGAGGAGCTGTGTGCCGACGACCGGGGGGCAGGCTTATAAGGTATACCCTATGGTTGGTTGATGATGCATGGAGGGGATTGTAACCATGGCAATGACACGGTATACGACGGGATGAATGTAAAACTAATGTTCTCCCATGTAAACCATCAAGGAATTCACAATAAAAGAGTTAAAAACAAAGACTTTCCAGAGCAGGGCAGAAGCCAGCTCCAGGGTACCTGGGGCAAAGGGAGAGGTCTGCCTACAGGTCCAAAAGGAGCTGCACTGACTAAAGGGAATTGGTAACCTGTTACCTCCCTGATACACTTCATAAAGGTGAGTGTGTCTGTGCGTTCACACCTGCAGGGAAGCATAGTGAGTACAAAGGCTGGGGAGCGAGGGCCTCAGCCTCAGCAATCAGACTTGGACTGAGGTTGGTAATGAGTCTCTCTCTTCTCCACCCAGAGAAGTCAGAGGAGCTAAGCTAGCCCTGACAGCTCTCTAACAGATGGAAGCCTCCATGGCTCACCCAAGTGTGGACCCCAGCAGAATGTGACAGGCTGTTCTGCACACCCCCTCCGCCCCCGCTTCAGCAGGATTATATCGACTCCTTGATGGAAATGCTGAACCGAGGTCTTTTAGCATGAAGTGATAGTAGCAAGCACTTTCTTCCAGAGACGGATAACCTGGACTTTCCCGCTGGGGTGTGAATTATCTAATGTCTTTTCTAGCCACAGTCTATGGTGGTGGTTGTGCCATGGAGTCAGTTCCGACTCACAGCCACCTGGGACAGGGCTTCCAAGGCTGTAAATCTCCACGGGAGCAGAAAGCCTCATCTTTCATCTGTGGAACATCTAGTCATTTCAAACTGCTGACCTTAAGGTTCGCAGCCCAACTCATACCCACTACGTTCCCAGAGCTCCTAACATTCTCTTTGTCTTCTACCAAATAACGTTTCTGCCCTGCTGGTTCTGGGTAAAAGAAGGTGGGAGAAGATTCTGACAGGATAACATGACTCACCTGGGGATGTAGGCAGAGCCCATTGTCATTGTGAACACTTGAAACGCTAGCATGGGCTTAAAATGAGCCCTCTCAGAAGCAGGAGGGGGAGCTCACTACCATCCAAGAAGAACCAGAAACAGAACACGTCCTTTGGACCCCAAGATCCCTGCACATTGAACCCGCATGCCACATAGAAAGGAAGCTGTGACCCTGGAGGAGGGGCAGAGGAGAAGCCGCAGCACCAAGACCCAGAGCATGGGACAGACAGTGAGCTTCCCAGCCCACGGAGCAAGTAAACGCGGAGCGACTTTGGGCAGGAGGCCTGCTGGTAGGGTCGGGTGCCTCCAGGTACTTAAGTGAGGGAACAGTTTGCTGACCCACGGAGCTAAAGCTGAGTGGTACGTCCTCTGGGCATTTATCAGCAGCTGACTGGAACATCGGCGCACGGGGCACTTCCTGACCCAACTTCCCTCTAATAAGGCCCGTGACTGGTAGTATGGTGTCTGAGATCTCTGTGGCAGCTGCAGCAGACGATCGAACCCATCTGAGGAGTCCAGAGGGTTGGTGTCTCCTGCCACATTGTTATACACCAACCTTGTGCTGAAAGTAGTGGACGAGAGGCCAGCTTCCCATCGATGTGCATTAAAGGACTCTTGTTTTACTACAACACAGCTTTAAATTAAAAAAAAAAAAAAAAAAAAAATTTCCACAGACATACAATAATATTGCTGTTGTTAAGTGTCATCAAGTGGATTCCGGCTCACAGCAGCCCTGTATGGGGTTTCAGAAGAGCGGCTGCTGACTTTGAACCACCAACCTTGCGGTTCAAACTGACCTTGCAATTGAGTGCTTATCCTAAAGCACCACACGAGGACTTCAAATATGTCACTGTTGTTGTTGTTAGGTGCCATCGAAGTCGGTACTGACACATAGCGACCTTATGCACAGCAGAATGAAACACTGCCCGATCCTGGGCCAACCTCACTACTGTTGCCATGCTTTAGTCCATCGATGCTGCCACTTGGCCAATTCATCTCGCTGGGGGTCTTCCTCTTTTTCTCTGACCCTCCATCTTACCAAACATGATGATCTTTCTCCAGCGACTGGTTCCTCCTGATAATATGTCCGAAGTATGACAGACAAAGTTTGACCATCCTGGCCTTCAAGGAGCACTCTGGCTGCACTTCTTCCAACACAAATCTGTTGGTTCTTCTGGCAGTCCATGGCACTTTCAATATTCTCCTCCAACACCATAACTCAAATGCATCAATTCTTCTATGGTCTTCTTATTCACTGTCCAGCTTTCTCATACATATGAGGTTATTGAAAATACTATGGCTTGGGTCAGGTGCTGACATCTTTGCTCTTCAACACTTAAAAAAGGTCTTGTGCAGCAGATTTGCCTAATGCAATATGTTGTTTGATTTCTTGATTGCTGCTTCCATGAGTGTTGATAGTTGATACAAGCAAAATGAAGTCCTTGACAACTTCAATCTCTTCTCCATTGATAAGAATGTTTATTGGTCCAGTGGTGAGGATTTTTGTTTTCTTTACATTGAGACACAATCCATACTGAAGGCTGTGCTCTTTGATCTTCATCAGTAAGTATTTTAAGTCCTCTTCACTTTCAACAGGCAAGGTTGTATCATCTGCATAGTCACAGGTTGTTAATAAAATGCCATTAGTATAACCTAAAATTAATAACATGAATGCTAAAGTGCTTAAGTGAAAGGATAGTAATGGCTCTGAAATGTGTTGTTGCTGTTAAGCGCTGTTGAGTCAGTTCTGACCCATAGGGAACCTGCATACGGTTTCCGAGAAGCAGATGGTGAGCTTGAACTGCTGACCTTGCAGTTCAAAGTGACTTTGCAGTCCAGTGCATTAACCCACAGTGCCACACCAGCACTATGAAATGTACATACATACAAAAAATGAATTAATGAATCAATAACAGAATTAGGTATCTGATATGTAATGAGCTAGTATAAGGTTAAGAGTCAAATCTAGCAGGTTAGAATATGTGGTGAAATGAACTTCTTTCTATGTCTGTACAATGTTCTGGCAGATGCCTCTAAGTTTAAGTGGGAAAAAGATCACCATCAACAACCCAAGGTTGAGTCCTATGAGGTACAGGTCAAAGTGCAACATGCCACCTCTTGCCAAACTTTTTACTGGTTCTGACACCAATTGGCCCTCCCATGACCCTCTGTATTATTGGGTTCAAATATTCATTGCAATGGCCACAGAGAATTCACAGGTAATACTCATAATTGTGGGGTTTATTAGGGAAGCAACAAGGTAGAATTCTGGATCAGAAACGAGTTGGCATAGTGTTTGGATCAGGGCAGCCTTTTCTCAGGGATCCTGGGCTGCGGGGCTTGGCGAGGCCTCTCCGCTGCTCAAACAGGTGTTAGAAAGCAACTCAGCTCTGCTAGTTCGCCACAGCAGGAAGCCACTCCTCTCTGGCTCTGTGGGTCAGAGGCTAGCTCTGTCAAGAGTCTGGCGGTCTCCCACCAACCTTCCACCAATCACCAGTCTCACAGAGATTGTTTTCAGACAGAAAGAAGCAGACAGAGAAGTAGAGAGGACCGACACTTGTCCAGGGCTAGAGGAAGACCCAATGGGCTCAGCAACAGAGCCTGTGCTCATAGGCCTGAAGGGACTCAGCGGCAGAACTGAGTGACACCAAAGACAAGAGGAGCCTGTCCCCAGGAGCTGAGAGGAGGAGGGAGAGACTGCCTGGACCCGAAGTGAATTAGGGAAGACTTGGCCTGCATGCCTCCTGATCCCGATCCTGACTTGACC